GTCTACCCTGAGATAAGCCACTCTGAGTCCAGTAGCCCTTACTCTATGGTATAGACTTAACTGGAGCTTCAGACTGGTGCTTCTTAGCCTAAGGCTATGACCACACATCAGGGAAAATATGGTTTCACCTGCTGGGTCTGCAGAGGTGAAATCACTGTAGTTCTCCAGATGTCAATCTGCAGGGATTGGCAGGGGCAGAAAGCTGTGTTTGCAGCTAAGTAATATTTGCTTTTAAACTTCACACACTTTATGCAGTTACCTTGTTTATTATCTAAGAAGGTAGGTACAGTTTGTTTTCATAACAGCCGCTGCTAAACTCAAAATAAATATATTTACACTCCATATTCCAAGGGAATATGAAACAAGCCAGCCTCTTGTTTCAACAGCAGAAGCTGCCTTTGATAAGGTACTAATAAAGTATTAATTAGCAACTTCGACCTCCCCCCCTTTTAAATTGTATTAAATGCCCTAGTGATACTGGGTTCCACCTCTGATTTGAAAGCTTCTTTAAAAAAACAAAACTGTTAGGAAACAAGGGTTCTATTTGAAAGGAGCTGACACACCCATGAGTGTCCCTTTGCACTGGATCTGGTGATCACATTGGGCAGAAAGCTAACAAAAGCAATGTCAAGTTGATTGGAGCAAAATTAAATCTGCCGATGGCTGAACAAAACAAGATGGTTCCCTACTCAAGAGATGATTCCACAGTAGGTGTTGTTGCACTGTGCTTCATGTTGTGTAGTTGCCAGGTTTTAATTAAATTCATCTGTGCCCAACCTGATGTAAATTGTATGGTAAATAATCAGTGTTGGTGCCCCCTAAGCATGCTGCTAGATGAACAACTCCTAGGCCACAATTACTGTACATGTTGCCTTCAAATTAGTGTAAATGCAAAATGATTTATGTCATTTCACATGTCATATGCTTTAGTGTGTACTAGGTGCCATTTTAAAGTGCAGTAAGACTTTAGCCAAGGTCCGCATAGTCAAAGCTACGTTTTTTCCAGTCGTGATGTATGAAAGTGAGAGCTGGACCATAACGGTTGACCGCCGAAGAATTGATGCTTTTGAATTGTGGTGCTGGAAGACTCTTGAGAGTCCCCTGGACTGCAAGGGGAACAAACCTATCCATTCTAAAGGAAATCAACCCTCTCACTGGAGAGACAGATCCTGAAGCTGAGGCTCCAGTACTTTGGCCATCTCATGAGAAGAGAGGACTCCCTGGAAAAGACCCTGATGTTGGGAAAGTGTGAAGGCAAGAGGAGAAGGGGACGACAAAGGACGAGATGGTTGGACAGTGTCACCGAAGCTACCAATATGAATTTGACCCAACTCCAGGAGGCAGTGGAAGACAGGAGGGCCTAGCGTGCTCTGGTCCATGGGGTCATGAAAAGACGGACACAACTTAACGACTAAATAACAACAAACAAAGACTTTAGCCAGCCACAAGAACCCTTCTTCTACCACAGGGCTTGCTAGTCCGGCTTGTCTGGTGGGTGGGTGGGCAGCAGGGGTCGTGACAACCAAGAACGGTGGCAGCAGTTGGGGCATCTTCAAGGGCCAGGAAGACCACCAGCCCCATTACTGCCCATGTGTGCTCCCCAGGCATTGCCATCCAGCTCCCCCTTGGACAAGCAAACCTGCGGAGGAGGAAGCATATTGTGCTCCACATGTGGCAAAAAACAAAAAAACAAAAAAGCTGACTTTCCAGGCAGCCAGCGCTAGCCATTTAGCAATGTTCTTGCCAGGGTTGGGGGGCAGTCAGTGGCTCTGTTTCACTGCACACAAAAAGTATGTGATGCGAGTATTTTCACTCCAGATTGCAGATGACGCAAAGTAAAAAGTTTACTGTAGGTTACGTATCTGCAATGTGCCCTTCCAGCTTTAGTGTTGCTGCTGAAAATACTGTACGTTGTGCGGGTATTCTATCTTTCTATCTTTAATAGAATCACAAGCAATGGGTAAAAGACGATGCTGTCTAGCCTCTTTCATGAAATTCCACATTTGAGTCACAGCAACTGCACAGCAAAAACCATTCTGGAACCACTGTATTCTTTATCATGCCCATCTTTGACACGTGTACAAAATTCACTCTGTCTGACAAAGATGCATGCCCGAACTTTAACAATGGAGGCCGTAGAAGGCTTTGGTCAAGATTACTCAAGTTTATAGATAGAGTTTATGAAATCTGTAGAGTTAAGCACCCTGCATCTCTTCTGATGACACCACAGACGCGCCTATTCAAAAGCAAGTTCCACGCATCGAATTGCTTAGATTTGCTCCTCCTTATATAGAATTAATTTCTTCCTTCTCTGCTTTAACTACTTTCCTTTATCTGTATGGTTCATACATTCGTTCATTCAAGTCCATCCGCTGACTGGTGCTTGCATATGTAACAATAATCTTCCAGAGAGTTAACTGTAACTTCTGAGGTTAAACCAAATGCTCTCGGGGCGACCCGCCAGACGTCAAGCAAAGCCTCCGCCGCTCCCGCTCTTTCACCCGCCGCCCCGCCCGCGTGTATCGCCGTCATCTTGCCGAAGTTTGATCCCCCACAGGTTCCGTAGGCCGGTGGCTGAACGGAAATGGCGTCAACCGAAGCCGCGACATTCAAACTCCCGGAAACGGCGTTCGAGCTGGGCTGGGTTCGAAAAGCCGCGGCGGTGTCGTCGTTGTCTCTCGCCCGGCCGCCACCACCGCCCCTCCCGGTCCCTCCCGGGGCGGCACAAGCGGGGCGGGCGCGGGGGTCGCCGTTACCGCCAGCCATCTTAAAGACCCTCTCTCCCCGGCCGGCTGAGCCCGTTCTTCGAGACCTCGGATGCACCTCGTCCGGTTTGTGGAGGGAGGGAGGAAGGGAGGGAGGGAGAGGCGGTGCGTTCAGGAGCCAGAACCACCGACGGCTGCTTTCAAGGAGGGCTTTGGAAGACTCTCACCTGCGCTCCTCCACCTTTAGCAAAGTGACCTGTCTAGACGGCTCCTCTCGGAATCGAGGATTGAACGAGTCCAAAAAAGTAACTTTCTCAAGCTTTCCCTGTTATTGGGGAATTTGGAAGGAAAAATGGACTGAGGGTAGCTTTACTGATTGTGGGACCATATTTGCCTGTTGGTAGAAGTCTGAGAGGGAGATCTGTTACACTGCTGTTGCATTGCGTCCAAAAATGTTATCTGTTAACTACAGTGCTGTGGTGCATTACATGCAGCTCTTTCCCCTGCCCTTTATCAGATCTTTTTAGTTCATGATGACTATTTGTTGCCCTTCTAGCTTAAGATCAAGATATTTGAAATTCTTCAATTTATGAAGTAGAAATGAGGCTACAGTCCCATGTATGCTTATTTAGGACTGAGACTTTAATCATAAGCATACTTGGTCAGAGACTAAATCCTACTGAGCTCTGGGAGACTTACTGTTAAATAAATGCACTTTGAATTATGGTTCTTTACCAAAAATAAAAATTGTTGAAGGTTTAATTCTGAATAAGCACATGTAAAATTAGCTCTAAAGTTTTGCAAGTCCTCCACTGTGGAGAAACTTTTCTTACTGTATAGACAAAGATGGTACTTCTTACAACAATACTTAATGATTTTCCAGAAAAACCTAGAATATGGCATCAAAAGTCATCAAAGAGATGAATATCAGCAAGTGGGGATTAAAGTCTGGCGATTCCAAATCTGAATCTGAATTACAAGTGTACAGGAAAGAGAATGCAGCCCTGAAAAAATCTTTGGAAGAAATCACAAAGGGCAAAAGCAAAATGACACCTGAAGAAAGGAAACGGCTTCTGGAGGTGATGCAGATTTTTCTCCATTTAAAACAAATTCTTTTGACCTGTTAACTATCAATAGAACAAGTTGAATAAAAATCAACTTTTTTAAAAAGCTGATTTAAATCACAATTTAAAATTTAGAAGTCATTTTTTTAAAATTTAAATTGTCAAAAAAAAGCAATTTTTGATTTCAGTAAAATCCATAATAACTGAAACTTTGAGTGGTATTGAGTGAAGGTTTCCGTTTTATCATCCTTTTGAAACTAATGGTGGAAGTTGTTGTCTTATGTATTTTTACATTTTATAGAGGTGGGAACCCCCTCCACACACACTAATTTAACACCAAATCCTATGATTGAAACTATACCAAAATAATAAAGGCATTCAGATTTGTAGTTTTAAAAAAGGTACATCCTTAACTTCTACTGCAAGTAAGCACTACAGTATAATCTTGCTAACTGCAACAGTGATGTATAGTGCATTACTATGCAGTCATTTCACAGTGGTTCATACTAATATGTGGAAGAGCTAATATGAAACATGGGCTTTTATACTGTCAGCATTGACTAACAACAGATTTGCAGCACAGTCCGGTCCACGTATTATCTTTTCATGAAACATGGGCTTTTATACTGTCAGCATCGACTAACTGATCTGCAGCACAGTCCTGTCCACATATTATCTTTTTTAGTCCAGTTGATATGTATTTGAAGAGAGGATCTCTCTTTGGAAAAGAGGCATTATTTTTCTCATTAGAGTCCTAAAGCCTTTACTTATTTGAGGTGAAAGCAAAGGCCAAAACAAGTTTATCTGTGTGCCCATGTTCTGCACGAAGAGAGGGATTGGTGTATTTTGTCAGCTTCCTAACTTTTTGGCGTGTAGTTTTGACCATAACCTTTTGCATTACACTATGTAATTACTGTCTTGACAGCTCAGAACCTGACAAGATTGTCACTCTAACTTTCCCTATAACAGCTTGTGCAACAGCCTTCTTTTGTTGCAGGTTGGATTGTCATGTCATACCTGTTGCAACTGAAATATACAAAAAAACCTCTGACAGGAAAGGGGATATATGTCCTATTGACTCACACATCTGCTAAGGCAGTGGGTCACTCTCCCCCAGGACATTTCCTGCCTGTTTAAAACCCTGTTCCTTGGCTGAGCAGATGAAGTTCTCAGTGAAAATCACCCCCAAGATGTATAGCACATAATCTAATGGGGTGCCCCTTTGAGCTGACCTCGCAACCAGCCATCTTTGAGCATTCTGGTAATGAGGAACACCTGATGTAACTTGACTGTTCAAATTGTTGACCTCTGTGTAAAGCTTGATACTCATTGCTCTGTATACTCTAAAGGAGGTTTCCTCTGGAAGAATCAACACACCCCAAAAAGTGTTGTAGCAGGAAATAAAGGCTTAGAACATGTTCCACCCTTTCTCCAGGTGAATGAAATAAAGGTGTGCAGGTGTATATTTGTGGACTGAAACTCCCAGAATTCTACCTGGGGAATTCTTGGAGAATCTTGAAATTTGGTGGCCCAACCCAACTCATATACCTATAGAACATCGCTATTGCTAACCACTTTCCAAATTAGGATAATCTTTGTGAGATAAAACTTTGAAGGCTCTTGTTGCTAACTTTTCTGGCCCAGCTTTTACAGTTGCCTTAGCTCTTGGAACATAACCTCTTGTACCACCATGTTGCTTGCCCTGTGTTGTAAAAGCCCTGAGGAATACTGGACTTCAAACTGATTTTTCTCTGTGACAACCTGTTTGTGTTTTGTGTAGAAAATACTTGCCGTTCAAACAGAAAATGAAAAATATAAGAATGTCCTTGGGGAGAGAGAGGAAGAAATCCGGCTACTGAAAGAAAAACTAAAGAGTAGAAGTGAAAATAGTGATGTCACCCGCATACTTGGTCAACTGGAGGAGAAAACAAAGGAAGTGGCAAAGAGAGAACAGCTACTGAATGCCCTCACCGAAGAGACGAATCGGCAGAACTGTCAATTATCTGCAGCTACTGCAAAATGTGCAGACCTTGAAAACAGAGTTAGCAATGACCAGAACCCCCAAGTATGTTTTTATAAGTTTAATATGCTCACTGTCTTCTTGGGGGAAAATATGCAGACTTTTTCTCTTCCTCCTCTGTCTCCTGCACCACTCAAAAGCACTGATTGTCTGAGTGCCTCTAGCCCAGTTTAGAATTGGCCTTAAATAAAAATGCAATCACTTGGGCTTAGTTTATGGATGGGTTGTATAGACTCATTTAAGTTCAGGTCTGATTTGACTGGTGCGTTTTTATACAAGGCCTCTAAAACTGCCAGTCTTCTCTGTCATTATATCCTTCCTCTCATAAATATGGAAAAGGCAGGGCTGCTACTAATGAAGACTAGGAAAGAGAGAAAATGGTGATAAACTGAGTATTTTCTGAACCAGATCAACTTTTCACTATTGTTTTAACCAGTGTATTCTCTAGCAAAATAAGATGTACAACCTGTGTCAATTGTGCGTAAAACTTGAAGTTATGTGATTGTAATGACCACTCATAACAATAGTTACTGGTAAAAGATTACTGCCAATTACTGCTTCTAGTATATCTAATATATAAACTTTTCCAAGGAGTGTCAGACTGTACATTTGTTCTTTCCAATTACTGCTTCTAGTATATCTAATATATGAACTTTTCCAAGGAGTGTCAGACTGCACTTTTGTTCTTGCTGCTTACACACACACACCCTCATCTTGGTGTGTGTCTGTATTTGCCACCTGAAAATACACTTCAAGTATCTGATAAAAGTGACTTTGGTCCACATGTACTCATCCCACAATAAATCTGTCGAGTCTTTAAACCCAACTTTCATAGATAGATGGATAAAACTTTGTTATGGTCAAAGATCAGCGACAAATAAAACATCGAAATATATAAATATACAGAGGTATGCAAAAATATTGGGATCAAATGCAAATACAGTGGTGCCTCGCTTACCGATCGCTCCGTTGAGCAACGAAATCGCTTTGTGACGGTGTTTTTGTGATCGCAAAAGCTATCGCTTTGCAATGTTTCCTATGGGGGAAAATCGCTTTGCGATGATTGTGGGGAAGCCAGCTGATCAGCGGTCCCAGAATGGCCACCGGAAAAACAAAATGGCGACCACTGTTTTGCCTCGCTTTAGAGGCACCAAAAATGGCTGCCCCTATGGAGAATCTTCGCATAAGGTCAGTTTTTAAGCCCATAGGAATGCATTCAACATGTTTTAATGCATTTCTATGGGCTTTTAAAAATAGCTTAGCGATGAAATCCCTTAGCGACTTTTTCCTGGAACAGATTAGCGTTGCTAAGCAAGGCACCACTGTACTCGGTTCTGAGGTGAACAATACCAGCATCAAAACATCTCCCCTAAAGCAATTCCAGAATTTCTAGCAAACCATGTTCTAACTACGGAGGCTCATCTGCTTTTAGGGTCCTTTTTCTAATGCCCATTGCAGCAGTAAGAAATTTGGCAACCCTAGGTGTAAGAATGGGATTGGAGTCAGACAGCAGCACATGCATACATTGTTGCTCTGTACAACTGGGAAATCAGCTAATCAGAGGGGAAACAAGTTCTTCATGTACATCCTTGTAAAATATGCACTGCAACAGGACATGTTCTATTGTTTCTATCTGCTCCATTCCACATGGGCAAAGGTGTTTTGCCCAGGGGATCTTTTCATACCGCCCGTCCTGCACTGCTGAAGGTAGTACGTTAAGCCGGGTCAGAGTAAATGCCGTTCTATGCCTGGGCTGCTCCAACTAGGCAAAATAAGGTGCTGCTGTAACCTTGTATAAATTCTCTTCCCTAAGATAGAATTCTGGGGCACTGCTTAAATCATTTTGTCTCTCAGTGTCCTCAATATCCTTCTTGATTATTTTCTTTGCCTGTTCCATTCCCTCTAGTCAACCTAGAGAGACCCAAAGAGGCTATTTTTTGCTCAATTGACTGAACCCATTTTGACTTTAAGGTGTCTTGCAGGATCAATGGTGCAAGACCAATAGGGAGATAAAACAGTCTGAGCCAGTACATGAGAATTGCAATCCATATCCTGGCTTCGATTTTAATTTGACCAGTTTCCAATCTTAGCTTTAACTTTAATTTTTACCAACTTTCCTTTTAGCTGTCTTGGGATAACTTTGATTTCTAGCCTCTCCTTTTTTTTTACATATTCGGATTCAAAAGCAAGTTGAAAGAAGCAAACAAGGCCTTTTAAGTTAGGCTGGTTCCCCTTGCCCTGTTTGTCTTGCCATAAATTATCGTGTAAGCAAATTAGCAAGATAGGTATATTTGACTGTGTATTTTTGAGTTGACTATTGAGCCTTTTGTGAACATGAAGACCTGTGAGTCGGAAATCATGAGAACACTTGCATACTTTTGTTGAACCATCTTATTGTGCTTAAAAGTTGTTTTAAAAAACCCTCCGCTTTATGAATGTGGAATGCTTTATGAATGTGGAATGCGGTGCTTGTATACCTGTGGTTCAAAAAGGCAGGAAATGACCCAATATTGCTGCACAATATTGTGCCTGCATTATCAGCAGGGAAAAGGATGCCAAGCTTTACATAGCAAAGGGCAGCCTGAATGTTGGGATAAAGTGACGCCAGGCAAGAGAAAATCCCAGAAGCTGACTAATTTTATCCATCAATTAACCACTTCTCAGCCAAACACAAAGCAATTGTTTGGGCTGTTTTTCAACAAGTGTGAATTTTAGTGGGCAGAAGAGGGTATGCTGTAGAACTGGATATGTTTTAGCCTGGAGAAGCCTGTGAGTGTGAACATGATAGCACTCTTCATATACCTGAAGGATTGTATCGAAGGGCCAGGGCTTGTTCTCTGCTGCTCCAGAAATTAGGACTAGATCTAATAGACTCAAAACAGGATAGGACATCAGGAGATACTCTTTGATGATAACAGCAGTTGAATATTGGAATGAATTACCCAGAAGAGTGGCAGGCCCTCACTTGCTAGAGGTCTTTACACAGATGCTAGGCAGCCATCTGAGGGTGTTCTAGGTTGGTCTGAGTTTGAGAAGTGTTTTGGACTAGGGAGCATGCAGGATCTCCTCCAGTTCTAAGATTTTATCTCTTGAATGAAGAAATATTCTGTTGAGAAGCAAAGATTGCTATTTCTAATAGGAGACTGGGTCAAGCTTTTTTGTTTGTTTTCTCCATAATAGCAAAGCTCTAATCAGTGCATACTTATTTATGAGTAGAGATCAACTGTAAGGGCAGAATCATGTTAGTCAGGATCTGCAAGAACCCTGGTTGGATGTATACCAGCAACATTGTTGGTGCACACTGCTCAGTCATTTCCCCTTGCAATGGGAATGGAACAGCTACAGAGCTTGGCTTCACAGTGTTTTTATCATGCAATGTGGGAGTGGGCAGCTTCTCTTCTCTAGTTTCTTACCCCCCCCAAAAAAAAACTAGGATGTCCTGAGTCTCTTTGGTTTTCCTCTGCTTTGTGCTAAGAAAGGGAAGCTGCGTGCTGGAAAATGGTACAAGAATCCAAGCACAGAGTAGAGCCACATCCTTGTTAACCAATGCAGACAGGAGCAGTTAAGCATTGTGCACTAACATGTCACCTATGCACAATAAGATTGGATTCTTGCAGTTCCTTGGATTGTGTTGTGTAAATTTATCTTGTGTGTTGAGGTAGAATCTACCTGATAGATCAAACATGTAAAAAACTTAATTCTACTCACACCCTTGCTAGTTGCATAACCACCCTGCATAATTTTGATGTTAAATATTCAGATCTGGTCAGCACAAGTGTAAACAAATACATAACTCTGTAGTAATTCATAACTTGAGGAATGGAAGTGGTGGTAAATTTGATTCCATTATCTTCTGTTTATGAAATATGAAAAACCTTGATAGCTGTACCACTTATGTACAGTAGGTGGCAATAAAATGTAGGCTGGCATACAGGAATGTTGGATTTTTTGTTGTGTTCTTGATTGGTGGTCTGGCATCTGCGGTCTGGATCTCATAATACCAAAAATGCCAGTGAAAATTTAGGGCCTTTTAACCTACAATATGAAATTCAACTAATCCAAGCAGAGAAAGGGTCCAGCATAGAACTTCTGCAGCATAAAACTACACTGGCAAAATGTTACTCTCCACCAGCATTCAAGTAGATTTGGGCTCTTGCTTTTAAAGATGTGTAATACTCCATATTTCCTCAACAGATTACTTCTTGTCCTAAATGCAGACTGGTGGTGTATCATTTCTGGGAGTGTAGCATATTCCCATAAACAATTCAATCCTACTATTTCTGGGTAACTCTGCTTACATTCTGATCTATAATATAGAAGAAATATAAACTGGAAAAATCTGATGCAGGTGCCATAAGGTGCTCCACTGGTCTGTAAAATGATAGTCATGTTTTCAACTATTTAACTCAGAAATATGCATAGCCAAGTGCGCTTGTATTTGCTCTTGTCTTGTAAAACTGAAGCATGTTTAACTGCTACTATCTTCTTTGGCAGGAAGTTGCTGCAAGCTGTCCCGGAACATCAGTAAATGTAAATGAAGTTGAAATGCAACTGAAAGATGTAAGACTTACTATAAAGCTATGTGCATGCTACTTTAGAAGAATATTTAAACACAGATAATTTAGACACCTCAGTGCATGGTAGTTTACAAGTAAGTTTCATTGACTTGAAAGGAGCAGGCTCCCAAATATGAATCCCGAAGAGTGCAGCCTTAATACTGTGAATATAAGGTGCTAAGAGGATACCGAATGTGGTGTAGTGGGTAGAGTAATATCCTAGGACTCAAGAGGCCTGTGTTCGAATCCCCACTCTACCATGGAAACTTACTATGAGAATGAAACTGGTAAAACCACTCCTTAAATATCTCAGTTACCTTGAAGGTCCCATTAAGGTCACTGTAAGTCTGTTCCGACTTGATAGCACATAACAGCAACAACAGGGTGCTAAGAAAGTGAGCTGTACTGAATTAAACCAAAATCTGTTATCTACTCCAGAATTCTGTTTCCAGCAATAACAAGATGGATTGACTTTAAGGTGGGGACGGGGATGGGTGGGCAGACCTTCCATTATTCATTCTCAGTTTTAAAACAGAAGCATAAATTGAGATTATATTACATTTTCATTAGCAGGTAAATGGTGCTTGTGATGTAAAGCAGAGATACAAAAGAAACAAATTCCCTGTTTTAGACTGCTTTGTTTAAAAGGGAAATCTTTAAAACCTGCCCAACAGAGGGATGATATTGATGGATGGTGGAAGTTGCAGTCTGACAGCATTTGAAGGTTCACCCCCTTTTCTGTACCTACTTTAAAAGTAGCCCTGTCCTACTATGCTGGCTTAGTTTTTTTTTGGGGGGGGAATCCAAATTATCCTGTGGACATTAAGTTGAGAAAGGCTATTTAAAAACAAAACAGTATTGTTGCTTACATTATGTTGGTCCCTAAACTATGTTACACTTGGATTATAGCACTGTGAGTTGTAGTTATTGGAGAGCTGTGTTGGGGCCAATGTTTCTCCCTATCTGGAATTCACCCAAACCTGCAAGTGCATTCACTCAAACATGCATCCAGCACTTGTGTGATTGAGAATCCTGCCTTATTAAGGCTGCTGACCACATGGGTACTGTAAGTACCTTGTTGCTGAATGCATGAAGGTTTGTGACTTCTTGGCTGGGGGAGAGGGGGCAGAGACGTGTGCCCTTTCTCCCCACCACGCGTAAAGCCCTATATAGTTTGACGCTGTAACAGTAGAATAGTTGAGCTGGCATCCCCACATTCATTCATCAATGTATACACCACTGTGACTGGTCTTTACCCCTTTCTACTTTGCCTGCTTCTGCTGTTCAGTTGCACAAAGTAAGCCATTATTGACTTAGGTCAGCTTCTTGTTACAGATTTGTCTTCTGAATACACACAGTACTGTGGGTGTATCAGAGTTTATAAAAAGCAGCTTGAATTGTGGTAGGCTAAATTTTTGCCTAACTGCCTTTTGACTATGAAGGGGACAGTGCTGTTGTTCAAAGGCAGTTCAGAGTGGTAGCAATTGACTGAATGGATGACTGAAGTAGAAACCCTATTTATGTTGCTAAACATATTTGTAGAAAGCTATTCACGTTAGGTTAGCCTGGGGACTGAGCATCTATGAGTGTGTGTGGCTTTAACCAGAGTACTGCAGTTGTCTCTGAGCACTTGCTGATAAAAACAAACAAACCCAAAACAGTAGTGAGCACCTAGGATCTAAAGCTCTGTAATAGCAGCCCCAATACCCCACATTAAACCACTCTTGAAGGAAAGAGCAATTTCAACATCACTGCAATATGGCCATGGCAGTTTTCTTTTCACAAAATTGATTCAAATTCCATAGGGATCACATAACCTCTTGCGTGGGTCCAAACAGTTCTTTGGATCTTGGCCAAATTTACTAGACTGAATACACTTGCCACATATAACTGTTTGGGCTATAGAAGTAGCCCTGTGTTTCTATGGGCCTGAGTATACGAAACACAAACTGTTGTCCAGTTTTGTGGTTACTTTGCACGTCCATAACCTCTCAGCTTTGGCCTGTTGTTTGCGTACTTTTCCTTAACATTTACTCCAGAAACCTATATTAAATAGCTATTCACAGATTTTTAATAGAATCTTTATTCTTTAGTCATATCAGTATTTATAAGCTGCCTTTCAAGTCCTCCCAAGACAGTAAGCAAAATACAAGTGTTAAAATGGAAATGGAGTAACATAAATAAAACATGTAAACATTTTAAAAAATGAAGAGCCAAAGTGTGTTGAAGCATACAGGCTGAACCCTGAAAGGACTCACAATACTATAATAAAAATGAAGAGCCAAAGTGTGTTGAAGCAATAGTCAAACAACATTAATAATAAAATGCATCAACTGAAAGCATGGCAAACAGGTGGAATTTCAAAGCTGCCCTCAATGCTGCAACTGAGGGGACAAAGTGTACACCTCTTGAAAGGGAATTCTGAAAAGCAGGGACCACTTTTGGGAAGGTGCTGTCATTAGTATCTACCAGCCTAGCAGACATAAACGGATCATGTTGAAAGCAGCGTTAGTTCTAGGGCCTGTCTGTGTGTAGACAGGGTATAGTCCTATGTACACTTACCTGAGAGTAGATCCAGTGGAATTCCCTGGATTCATTTCTGAGTAGATATCTACATGATGGTGCAGTGTTTGGAGAACTCATAATGGATGCAATTTCTGTTTCTTTACCACTACTGTTATATGCAAATCTGCAAAAAGTTTATTCAGCATTTGCTTAAAGAGCTTTGGAAGATCTCCCAGTTAGGTCTTCTATTGTTTACTGGCATATTTTAAAATTTACATTGTTTACCCACAAAAAAAGGAATGAAACTATGAGCAACCAGATATACAGATGATATGCACATACTTGCCCTATCTTTACAAGATTTCCCCGATGTTAAATAAAACTGATCCTGCTGTTTTATTAAAGTTCTTTAACTTCGATTATTTGTATTTACATTTCCTTACATCATGGACTGGTTTGAGGAAACGATGGTGAAAACACTTCTGTATACATGCAAGGTGTTTTTTCTTTGTTGAGTAGGGTGGAGCTGAACAAAAGGTAGGTTTGCTGGTTTCCATTTGTTTAACAACAATGGTAACAAAAATAATCATACCCTCTATTGATTTATATCCTTGAAGTAAAGAGAACTTAGTTTTCCAAAAGCAGATTGAAGTGCAAAAGGACTGTAAACTCTATTAAAAGCTATATCCTTGAAGTAAAGAGAACTTAGTTTCCCAAAAGCAGATTGAAGTGCAGAAAGACTGTAAACTCTATTAAAAGCATATGCTGTTGTTTAGTCATTAAGTTGTGTTCGTGACCCCATGGACCAGAGCACACCAGGCCGTCCTGTCTTCCACTGCTTTCCGGAGTTGGGTCAAATTCCTGTTGGTAGCTTCGGTGACACTGTCCAACTATCTCATCCTCTGTTATACATTTCTCTTGCCTTCACATTTTCCCAACATCAGGGTCTTTTCCATAAAAGCATATAGAAGACCTCAAAATTCTTAATTTCAACTTTATATTTTGCACTACACTCTGTTTGGTGGATTTCAGTTCTAGTAAAAACAAAGAAGATACCACAAGCTTGAATTGTGCTTACCCTTGCAGCAGGAGAATGTCTAGTGGTTGTGCTAGATATGGGGGCATACGTTTTCCCCTCTCCAATCTCCTGCCCCACATGCCATTCACTTTGCTGACTTAAGTGATCAATATCAAAATTTGCAACACCTTATTTGCCACCTAGACAGACATTGATCTAACTAATCAAATTAAGTGATATTTGAAAATCCTCTCACCTGAAGCATTTCAGTATTATCTTGGTCCCTAATGTATGGGCCAAAAAAGACCACTTGCATCCTCTAGTGGCCCAACAATGTTTTATTTTGCAGTTTATAATCCCTTAGGAAGAAAAGTGGAGGGGTGTATATTCAAATGCCATGATTTAAATGCTGATGAACAAATAATTGAGGCTCTAAATGCTTTTATTCCAGAACTCAATCCTGCTAATTTTTAAATCTTATTCACTCACAAGGCTTTGGAAAAAAACCAGCAGTGGCTCACGTATGACCAGCAACGAGAAGCTTATGTTCACAGCCTCTTAGCAAGGATCTTTGAGTTGGAGCAACAGTTGGACGCTGTTCATCACAAACAAGCAAAGGAAGCCAGGCTAGAAGGTAGGGATGTGAACTTTCTGCAAACTTACTAGGATTCACAAAATTGGTTTAGATTGTGTAGATGGCCCATTTTTCTTAAACAGCCCTTTAAATGGTGAAATCCAATTCTTGCTGTATCCAACTGTTAGGCTGTTGCTGGTGTAAAACCTGTTGCCATGCACTAAAATGTACTGATCATTGCCCAACTACCAAGGTGCCAGTTTTAGATGAGGAATGGGGCATGGGCGTAAGTTTGTCTTGATTTGCCTTGGCATACTTCCTTCTGCTCTGTTGTTAAATAGATCCTACTTGCGATTTAACCAATAGGGAACAGCTGCTGTTGGGTGTGGCATTTTAAACACACATCATGAAAAAATGCATTTATGGGATGGTTCAATGAACTGCCTACTTCTGTGTAGCAGAACTTTTGGTAGCAAGTCAATGACGCTTGTTAATTTACAGTTTATTTGCCTGTTTCAGTTTCTTAGATCTGTTAAATATCTGGTTTGTGCTAGAACAATGTTGGGTCTCGGCTTTTTATTGTACCATAGTTTCATAAAACATTCGTTTGTCATAAATGTTGGCATCCCCTGGTGGATGCATGCTGAAAGACTGGAAGGAAATCTGCCACATCATCAATCTCCCTGAGGTTCTGTGACTCCACAGTCTTCAGAGAGATGGAAATCATTCCTTGAGCCTAGGGACATGAAGTGGATTAGGGTTCAAAATGCTTCTCTGAGCTGATGGAACCTCTTCTGAGGGAAAGGCATCCCTCTCTTCTGCAATGTGATGATGGCCCTGCAGGCCATTTCATGTTACTTGTTTAATGCATTTCACATTGATTGTTCAAGATCGCAGTCTCCCTGAGTCTGTTTTGCAGCAGGAAGGCAGGTTGCATTGCTTTGTGCAATTAATACTGGTTCTCAGAGGCAGCACTGTTTGTGTTTTTGCACTCAAGCTCCCTTTGCTAGTTTAGGAGTTGAATTCCAAGAGCATCTGGTAATAATGGGTTAGCATGAATGGGGAGGAAAACCACAAAAGAGGATCTTACTTTCATGTTCAAGTTCTTTGTTGATATCTAATAGAGAGCCTTTTAAACCTGAATGCATTTTAATGAAAGAGAGGGACACAAAAAAGTAAGATTCATTCATTTCCATCTTCCATTTGTCCTTGCCTTTGCTAGTTATCTGTCAAATTGCCTGAGGAAATCTTCTATCAGATAGTGTCAGGAAGGGTGGAGTGGGAATTTTGGAGCTGTAGAAGGTCATGGATTGGTTGTTAGAGCCCAGTAGGAGGTACACTAAATGCTGGATTCCCCCACACCCTTTAACCTGCTATAAACATTTTCTTTACCTCCCACCCCTCTGGCTGGAGAGTTGGGAGATCCTGGAAACAGCAAAGGAACAGTCAGATCAAGGCAAGGTGGTGGTGAAGAAAAGTTGGAGGGAGGAAGGCATGACCAGTACAGACTCACTTCCAGGGCCAGGGGCTGCAGGCAACATGCAGAAATAGTAACAATGTTTCCAGCATTGTTCTTTATACAGTATTCCCCTCCCCACCCCAGAAAACGTTTTTATTCTCTTCTGTTTTCAAAAGCATGCTGTAAACAGCCCTGCCTAAGTATTGAAAATTCCAGAACTGTAGGGATGTGGGAGGTGTGGGTGTGTGGGACAGTATCATGACCTATGCCTTAGGAGTTCACCCAGTGTTTTTCCCCCTCCTCCCTTGTGGTGAAGGAAAGCATTGCACGAGAGCTCAACTCCAAACCTCCCCCTTTTTCCTTTTGAATTGAATCAAAGGCGAAGGAAGATCCCTGAAACAAGCAGGAGGATAATGACCAACAACAATGCTCTGATATTAAAGCTTCCCCCTCCCTGACATCCTTAGGCTCCAAAAGCTTTCTCCAGGTTGAAGAGGATCTCTAAGGAGCCTGAGAATACGAAGTAGGAAGGATAGGGAAATTTAAATTAAACTAAATTAAAATCTTTTAAGTTAAAGGTAGATTTCCATGGCTGATGATATCATCAGCATTACAGCCACACAGCTTTGCCAACAGGATTCTACGAATTACGTAGCTGAAAACCTATTGTTTTGTGTAGTGAGTTGCACTAGAATAGGCCCATTAAACCAGTGGGGATTTGGTGACTCAATTCCTCCTTAAGTTCCATTGACTCAAATGGGTCTACTCTAGTTGTGACTTACAGTGCTAAAGTAAGTTGCAACTAGAGTAGACACATTTAAATTTATGGAACACGGAGGAGTTGACTCACCAAATCCCCTCTGTAAATGGTGGCAGCTGCTCCATTTATTATCTTCATATTTCTCGGATGTATCACACAAGTTAGGTAACCATCTTTGCTGAAGTGGTTTATTTTTCTATGTTTCTTTGTCCTATGTTGTGTTTCTGCAAGAAGAGAAACAAAGATATGAACAGCTGTTGGCAGCTGCCCAAAATGATCTTGAAGCAGAGAGGCTTATGGCAGCTCAGCTAAATTCTGACTTGAGTGAATTGAAAAGGAAATATGAAGAAGCCAAGCAGGAGCTGAAGAATTTAAACAGTCTGCTGATGTTACACAAGCAAGTCAACGTTCAGGCTCTTCAAAATGAGAACCACATCAAAGACCAGATGTTACAGAGGCTTACACATGAAAATGAGGTTATCATAGGAAAGCTGGATGGAGAAAAGAAGCGAACACAAGCTCTCTCTTCTCAGGTTCATATATAAGAGTAATTGATGTGCTTTATCATATTTGGTATTGTTGCCTGAAATCCCCTGAGGCTACATAAAGTATTTTGGAACTGTAAAGCTATAGTACAGTGTCACATGCTCTGTAACACAGTAATAGTAGAATCAAACTAGCAACATAAAAGCACACCAGACCACTGCAGAATATCATAGATCTGCACAAAAGAAACAAAGAATAAGAGCAGATGCAATATGCATAATGATAACGTTCAAAAAGGACAAAAGAATAATCAGTTGAGATAGGCTCTGTCATATGACAATGGCCAAAATCCTATTCATGTTTTCTGCAGGTGTAAGGGGAACTACATACACAAAGGTCTTTACCCTCTGGCATGCTCTCCTTTTCATGATTGATTGCATAATCAATGCATTTGGTCATGTAGTGGAGGAGGATAAATGCCTATGCGATTCCAGTTGTAGAAGCAAAACAGGATTCTAGCCAGTATAATGTGACTCGTATAAAGCCACAGTATTAGAAAAGCACCATACAAGATGCAGTGTTATTGATTATTATGGTCCAGTGTGGATCATGGATTGTGCATCTAAATTAAGCTAGAAGGCCATATCCATGATTAACAAGTGTGGAATTTAAAATATCATTAAAGAATTGATGATGAAAGTAAATTTTATTGGAAACAGTTTCTGTCAAGACACTGTTTTGCCAAATAAATTCCCTGAGAAGCTGAGAAATGCTTTTCCAAGAAATATGGACCTTACAACAAACATGATGCTTGGAAATTAGTCAGGAATTTGCTGACACCTAAATAAATTGAATCCTACCTCTATTATTCAGGAGAGCTTTTAAACGTAATTAGATGTATTAAAAATTAGAGTGATTTACAATTAAATAATGTTTAGGAAGTAATATTGCCATGTTAATAAAGCCACTGTCTGAAGTGCAGATACAATCGGTGCCAAAGACTTCTTATATGATTGTTCTCCTTATATAGTCTTCTCTATGTTAAAGGTTGAACTGCTGCAAAGATCTTTGCTAAAACAGCAAGAAGAACACACAAGGATGGCTGCTTTGGAACAACAGGTACCAAATTACACCGTCCTGTTTCAGCAATACCTAACCAGTCCTAAAATTTCTTGGGCTGAAATAAAACTAAGAAACTTTATACTGTATTCTTTTTAATAGCAGTACTTCTGAATTCTTATGAAGCACCATCAAATCATTTGTTTTTCCCTATATTAAGATATTGGCCAAAATCCTATTGTATATTCCCATGGTCAGTGAAACCTTCATTTGCAAACTGCTACAAGTTAAGAAGTCAGAACCGGCATTTCCTATAACACACTGGACGACACAACTTGTGTGCGATAGAAAATGTCAGTGTTGGCTTCTTAACTGATGATGATTTGCTGCCAGCATTCACTGATGGATGTAAGTAATGGGATTCCAGCCATTGCCTGTTTCTGATAGTAGCAAACTCTCTTAGTGGTAGCTGCTATGTATTTAAGTTATGAATAAAGATTTAACACATAGTGAGCTAGATCCAGTGTTGCACTGCTGGGAGTTTCAGAATTTTCCTCTCCTTTTTTTTTCTGCAGTCCTCTGTGCTATCCTAAAGATCAGCTCTTGAGGGCTTCTCAGTCCTCTAGAGCAGTGGTTCTTAACGTGGGCGATAATGCCCCCAAGGGGGCGATTTCATTTTTCAGGGGGGCGGTAGAACAAAAAGGGGCGGCGTGGGCGCGCTGGAGCAGAAGGGAGCGGGAGGGGGGCGCTGGAGCAAGCCAAACCTGTGAAGATGGCTGCAGCCTTTTTACAATGTGCATGAATATATATTTTCCTCCAATCTTAATTTAGTTTCAGAGTTTTTGTCTTGAAATTTTTAGTTCCTGCATTGCAGTTTGTTTTTATGCCCTTTTTATATTTCTTTTTGCGTCTTAAAATTCGCTTGCAACTAAATCATTAAATGTTACTTTTTGGGGGCATTTCATTTTCTTGGAATTGAATTTTGTTTTCAGGGGTCATTGGATTTAAGTGTAATAAATAAATAAATAAATAAATAAATAAATAAATAAATAAGATCTCATCACCGCGGGGAGGGGGGCGATGATAACTTCCTCAATGGCTCGAGGGGGCATTTCTTTCAAAAAGGTTAAGAACCACTGCTCTAGAGCAGTGCATAGAGAGACTGAAATGGGTAGGAGTTTTGCTGGGTTCTTCCATTCCACCAGTGGAAATCCATCCTACCAGTAATGATTCTGTCTCCATTCTCTCTCTGCTTTATATATCATACTGCGAAAGCTAGGTCTTTAGAAACAAAACAAAAAAGACTGCGTAATCATCATAAAAGATATGGATGTGTAGGTTAAAATTTAAAACTGGGCACTTGCACAATAAACCAAGGAAAGGGATTGCATATATCTTTTTTAAAATCCTTACGTTATTACACATGGTCTGGAATTTGTCATGGAAGCTTTCTGGTTTTTCACCCAGCCTGTTTCTCCAGATCCAGGCATGTACCTCTGACTTTGAGAATGAAAAGCTTGATCGTCAGAACCTGCAGCACCAGTTGAACAAAGTCCTTAAAGAGCTGCATAAAGCCAGGGAACAAATAAGTCATCTAGAACCTTCTGTGAGTATCATTAAAGTTTTGAATGTCTTCTTATTCTCCCACCTACAGGTGTAGAAAGTTCTTGTTCTCAAGCTTCTGTTGTTTCTGCGAGGTGTCTGGGATTCACGATCTGGGAACATTCCCTGGATCTTGTCTGTGCACAAACACACAGCATTTGGTTATCTGCTGCAAAATGCACAGTGATGGAAAACTTTGTCTTCTATTTTAAATAAGCATCTTGTGAAAAATGTTAAAAACTTGTTGGGTATGTCTGATTGTTTTGGGAAGCTTTTCTTGGTAGATCATCAGTAGATGGAACTAGAAATGGCTGCTCCACTCACAGGCTGGTGTGCACTTGCCAGGTTGTCCTCTTGAGGCACCTCCCCACTCTGGGCAGTGATTTGCGCTTTCCTTCCCCACCACATCCAGCAGCCGACTAGTTGTGCGACAAGAATCGATGTCCCACCTCCTCGTCTGATTGGTTGGCTGCCAGTGGAGGCAGGGAAGAGAAGCCCAAGTTGCTGCCCAGAGTGGATAGCTCCCGGAGTTGCTACCCGAGGAGGATGATCCGACCAAAAGCGTGCTGCTTATATACCGCCCCATAGCGCTTCAAACACTCTCTGGGCAGTTTACAATTTAATTATGCAGGCTACACATTGCCCCCCCCCAGCAAGCTGGGTACTCATTTTACCGACCTCGGAAGGATAGAAGGCTGAGTCAACCTTGAGCCGGCTACCTGGGCTGTGAACCCCAGGTCGTGAGCACAGTTTTAGCTGCAGTACAGCGGTTTAACCACTGTGCCACGAGGCTCTGTGCCACTGTGCCATGCAGTGCATGCAAGCTTGTGAGTGGTGCAACTGGCCGGGGGGGGGAGAATGTGCTGCACCTATGATGCTGTGCGTACGAATTTAGACAAACCAGGCCAAATAAATTTGTGCCCATGTCTGGACGGTACTTCAAAATCCTTGAATATACACTGTACTAGATACCATTATAACTACATGAATTATTCCTATAGCACTTTCCTTACTGCTCTGCCTTCCTGCCCAGAATCTTGTTATGTTTTTTACAAAAGGATAATGCAATTGTTTCAAATCTCAGTGGCAAATTGCTAAGTTAAGAAGGCAGCTATCTCATTTGCCATTGCACAGGCAGCTGTGTGATGCCATGTGCAACAGCAAATGTCTCTTTGGAATTTTTGTTGCAGTTTGCTCTTGAGAATTATCTCGATCATGCTGTTAAGTATAGCTAGCAACGTTCTGGCCACTAATTCCTAAAACATGCCTCTTTTTAAAAAAGGTCTGTGCAGTTACCATAGAGTTCTATACAACCTAAGTTTCATTTTGGTTGAATTTGAGATTTCAACAAGGTTTGCGTTATTATGCCATGTTGTACGTAAGAGCTTCTGTACTTCTCTTCAGATACTGTCTGTAGGAGCAATAAACTGGTATGGGAAAAGTTCTGGCCACACACACACAGTCTCCTCTCCATATGGAAGATGGCAGTCTGAAAAGAAAAGCCTCTGCAATCCATAAATCCTCTCCTTGCAATTTGAAACCCAGCATAAACAAGACTGTCTGTTTCAGACTGTCTCCCTTCATGCACAGAGGCTGACTGAACAACAACAAAGGGGCAGAGTGAGAGTAACCTTCCAACTGTTGTTACCAGCTAGAGAATGTCTGAATAGGGCTTATCTCTTCACATGTATGTATTTTTGGCACAGTCTCTAAAAAGTTAGTGTTTGGTGGCTAAAATCCACCATTGGCCATTCCAACTGGGGCTTACCAAAGCTGGAGTCATTCTGGGTGGGGGGGGGAGGCATTCTGTATCTTCATCCCATCCCCATTACATTCTTTCCCAACCTGATCCATCCTCCAGATATGCAGGCAGGATAGTGGGGACTGTCGTTTGGCAAATCTGAATGCCCCAGGCTGGACGATGTCATCCTATTTTGTAGCAGTTGAAGGAAACACAGAAAAATGTTTTTAAGATGTGAGCATGTTATTTTTCACTCCTCTGTTTCCATTTTGTCCTATGAAGAAATATAGGCAGTTCGTACTGTAAGAAGCATTTATACATATTTAGCTGCATATTTTACTCTATTTTTCTGCAGAAGTCTCCAGAGCACGGAGGATGTGTAGAAGTCTTGCTCAATTTCCAGACTGCCGTTGATGACAAGGTGGTAATAAAAGACAAATGTTCTTCACCAAAAAGTTCCTGTCTTGACGAAAGTTTCCTGGAGTGCCCCAAATGTAAAGCGAACTATCCTACAAGCCAGCATAGGGACTTACTGGCCCATATTGACTATTGTGTGGATTAAATACACGGGCAAACCTGTAGCTAGGTTACTGCAAACAGGTATTTTAACTAAAAATACTGTAATGGCTTTTTAAAAACAATGCACTTGGATTTTAAAGGACTGTAGTTCACATTCCAGCTAAAACATTGTACTTTCAGTATCAATTTTTATGAAGGTCTGACCTTAACCATGTCCACAGAGGCAGTCAACAATTTTGTTTCAGACATGGTATGTTGAATTCTAGACTACTGGTTGTATTTGCACTATCAAACCAATAGAGGTATTCACTGATTTTTTTTCCATGACCGTTCACCAAATGTTCAACAAAACTGCTACCAAACACTCCTACTTCAGTCTTCAGGATCCCTGGCCTGTAACATATTTAAACTGGATTAATATATATTGCTTTGCACTGCCTGGATATTGTTTTGCCATTTCAGCATTTTAAAGCTTTTTTCAATCTTGCGAAAAGGAACATGTTTTAAATTTAGGATGATCTGTGATGCAAGAACTTGTGTGGTGACAAGTTGGTTGATCTGATCTGAACATTCTTAAAGTAGTTTATTCTATAATATCAAGCAAACTGTGTGTGTGCAGAAAAAGGAACAAACAAAAAATTTAGCGCTTGAGGTTACCTTTTAAAATCGCTTCACCTGTTTGGTCTGAAGTACATTCCTACTTGTACACAGTTTGTCCTCCACCTAAAAGCTGGGGATATAGCATATCAGGGATTCTGTATATGGAAATGCTTTTTAAAATAATAATAAAACAATTGGTGATGCCTGCAATATTCTGTGTTTCTCTCTTTTTTTAAGTAGTTGGTAAGTAACTAGCAAATCGTACTCTCTGTTTTACACTGATATGTTTCTCAAATCTCAAGAAATCATGTTCTCATATCTATCTATATACATCCTCTCTGTCTTCTACTTGGTTCCTAGTTTCCACTGGGTTTCAAATAATCATTTCTCACTTCCAGAAATCCCATTGGAAGTTATGTCTCAAGACTTTGGAAAACTGACCGTTGTTAAAACTACTAGCATGGTGGCAACCCAACACCTTGTGGTTATCCCATGCCAATCTGGAAAAAAAGTACTGCTGGCCAAACAGGTGTGGGTTCTCTAATGTTAAACTTGATATTACTCAACTGGGGGGGGGAGCAGGAATATGCCCATTTTCTATCTGTCATCCAAACAAAGCCTGGTGTTCAGTTTTAGTGTGAATCTGAGGCTGCCTCTTTTTAAAACGAGTTGGATATGTTCATGTCTGATGTCTGTCTTGCGCTGCAGAGTAAGCGTGAACTCCACAGATGGCATCACACCTGCAGCCAAATTCTTTTCTTCATCCAGTCCATCCACTATACAGGACACTTTTTTCCAATATACAGAGCATCTGATAGTTCTTGGAGGAGGAATTTTCAAGAGCTGTGAATGGAGATCCATTTGCTTCCATTTGATTGTCTTAGATTCTCAGTCTGTGAAACAGAATTATTATATTTAGAAAAACTAATGTGAGTCCATGGGATATAGAGCACAATGCAAATTAAACAAGTATGCCATTCCAGTAGCCCCATAAATTGTAGTGATACTTCCTATTAATGATTGATTAAATCTACATTATTCTGTGTGCCTGTTGTAATTCATGTAATCAGCATACTTTAATACAGTACATACTGTATTAATCGGAAAAGCAGCATGGCTAGTAGGCTGCCTTTCTGATATCTAGCATAAAGTTAAAGAACTCCTTCCCCTCCCTCCTTTTTTTCTGTTCAGTTTCTTCTCTAGAGAATGTAGAATATTCTCACCCAGAGTTTAGAAGGGTTCCTTTTTGGGCTACAGCTCCCAGAATCCCGGGTTTCTGGAATTGTAAATGAAGAGGTACATTTTCAAGACTCTGGTTACACCTCTGAATAGAACTAGATTCTGCAAAAATGCATGGGCATCAATTCTCCCTCAGCAGAAATTATTCAAACAGAATTTATGCTGTAGAAGGGGCCATGCAGTTTTGTGATCACACACATGGTAAGTGCACACCCTTGGATGTGCCTCCTATTTTACAAGGAGAATATGAAAATTATTTATCAAGCCAGCCCAGCCTCTTAAAGAATACATGTTTTATTCAGTGTAAACTTTTGTGGATTGTTGCCAACTTCTCAGCAGCACTGTTTTTTTGTCATCTTACTGTTTTTCAAGAAGTTATACTTAAATATATCATTTCAATTGAAGCCATGGACTCTAGCACTGCATGAATGTATTGTTGTAGTCATAAAGTACTAAAGCAACTGTAAAGATACAGCCTGTAGGCTACCAACCAAGATCCAAATTCACATTCAGTTCTTGGTAACAGAATTAGTAATTTTTGAGGTGAAGAAATCAATTCTTGTCCTAGGAGGCAAATATGTAGGCACATATTTTGAAACCATCTGTTCTAACATTATTCAGTGCAGATCTATTTCAGTTGCATTTGCCATCAATCTTTTATAGATTGATAGACGATAGATATACAGTAGTTTTATACATATAGTTTATATACTGTATATATTTATATGTAACTATATATAGATAGATAGAT